GAGTGCAATTCATGGCAAGCAAGCTGAGTATCTCCCCGAGCTAAATGGTTTATTTTGTCTGTTTTATTCTCCATATGACTGTACTGCCCTTCTAGAGCAAGTGAACATGACCCTCTAAATGTGTAACTTTTTCGGTACGACTTCCAAATGCCATATATTACGAGGCCAGTCCAATTCACTGTGAAGGAGTTCCTTGTTAATGCAAGTGAAGACATTTGAGTGACTGTGTCTGCGGATCTGCCTGGTGCATATTCCTTGCCAAGGGGGCGAGATGGCCCAAGTGGTTAGAAGGTCCGTGGTTCGAACCCTACCTCTGCCTCTTGACTTCCCCTGTTTGGCACCGGAAGGTGCTACAGCTGAACGATTATTATTATTATTTATTTTATTTCCTGTCAAGCTAGGCGAAGCCTAGGAATGAAAATCAGAAACAACAACAACGTGTTTTCCAAATGACAATTACAACTCTTGACAACGCGGTCAGATAATTAGTCTTTGTTCTTTTGCCTCTAAAAAAAAGACCGAAAACGACGGCAAGACATTGGAACGGAATGGCCGAAAGTGAGCAAAGCAAAGATATTTATGGTGAAAAGACTGGCAACCACAAAGAAAACGCGATACAGTGATGTCAGATACACTGCCAGTCCGCCTCCCTTATCATAATAAACCACAGCAACCAGAGATATACGTTAATCTCGCGCAATTCGACAAGCATGGAGCCACGGCCTACGAATGTCAGAATGGGAGAAAGTAGACTTTAGCGTGGCTGTGAACAGGATCGGAAACGTCACAACACTGGTCTGTCGTTTACAGCGTCACTCCGCCCCCGTACTGCATGCGTCATCTGCTGGCTCTTCATCGCACTTTTCTATAGGTTATCCTAGTCACCATCAGTATCCAATCAAATCTGGTTTCGTTGTGACTGCATGCGGCCTACTGTCTTGATATAGGCCAACGGAAACTTGCACCGCCATCACCGGCATTGGCTTGTCAGCGTACAGGAGCGAACACAGATATATGATCGGCCATAATACCTGCTGTCACAACCGGTTTCCAAGCCTAAAAACAGCTGGGTCAACATAATCTACCTTTTGTCAACAATGCCCCGCAGAATCCTCCTTTATCTGCCCTGTTTTTCTTTGATGGAGATGGCAAGTTTGACAAGGTGTATTTTTCAGTGGGGTTGGAAAAGGCCCAAAGTGAGAAGTTGTTCGGTATCTAGGGTTACTTCATGGAGTAAGGGTGGTACTGACAAAATGATCTCTCTAGTAAATGAAACTTCTAAGAGGAACCAGCAACGCTCGTCTTTGGACTACAGGCCAGAAGTAGTTTTCCGTCCTAAAAACACGTCAATGATTTTAAAAAACTTGCTCAGACGCAAATTTGCTTGCTTCCTGGAGGGACGACTGTAAATGATACACCGCTGCTCACATTCGGCTGTCTTCACTCTTATCACTTGTGTACGACAGCAAGGGAATAAAGCGTACATGTTGTGATCATATACTATATACATACTACCGTGTGAAACTCAGAAAGTTGAGCGTTAAAAATTAGTGAGTACCAATGAGACCACAAAAAGAGGGGGCGTGAACTGTCGCATGAACATTTTGAAACCCCTTGATCTGAATAAGGCCATGTTCTGGACGTAATACACTACTCACAAGGTTGCTGAATATTCCTCATCAGCCCACGACCGATCTCACCCTTCTTGGGACTCATCAGATAGGCGCAGTCTCCGAGTTCCCGTCAATCTTGTGTTCTGCTTGAAACCAAATTGCACGAGATTAGCGAAATACACTCAGTTGCAAACATATTTGGTTTTTAGAGAGACTCACTGGGAACCCAGCTGAAACACAATAAACGGGAGATTCGGCTGGATTTCAGGTAAGTCTCTCGAAAAAAAACATATTTGTTTGCAAGTGAGTGTATTTTGCTAAGATCGTATTCTCCTTGAACTTGGAAAAGCACTGTATTGGATTTATTTGGTCAAAGTAAACCTCATGGTATTCTCTCCGCAGATCACGGTTCCCATGCTGTTACTTTGCCTTTTGTTATCCGTACAATGCGGTTGACAGTCTAACGTAAACTAAACTGAACCATCGACCTCACACTACTGGGCTGTAGAACTTCTTCACACGAAGGGACCCAGATGCCACAACTAGTCTCAAGTGAGAGGTTTCCTACCGGGGGGGAGCAATGACCAAACGTGACTACTGTAGTAAAATACGTTCCATCTTACGAAGAGATTTCTATCACGTGCTGTTGGCAAAAGACGAACGACGCAGTTTCTTAAATGACCTTTACACAATATACGCGCGTTAATCTGTCGCTGTTTCAGAGTCAATTTTATAGCCTCGGAGTACTTAGCACACCAGGCTCTATAGACCTTGGCTAAAACCGCCAGGATTCTACAATTTTAGAAAATCCTTATTCACTTCAGCTGACATTTTTTGCAAACATTTACGTGAGACTTGCAGACTCACTGAAACTGGTGATATCACTTACTTACAGTAGACTGGTGTCACAATCTCCTTGCTCCTTTATTTTCCATTCCGCCGAGTTGCTTGTATTTCGCGTGATTACCTTAGTAAAACAGCTTCGGGGCGCTCCCCTCATATTCATCTCTAGTCAGTTTTACTTTGTATTCTGTTGTGTGTGATTACAAAACATCCACTGTGACATAAGGAAGTGGGTCAAAGAGCTTCTTCTATCCGTAAAGCGAGAAGCAACTGTCAGCGTAAAGTTCGCCGCCACTCTACCCATCATGGGTCTTGATTCTATCTGCGGCACTTTAGTTCATAGATATTTCGAATGAAGATCACGTGGCAATATGGACCATACTTATCCTGGTTTGAAATATTTCGAGTGAATACATATCTTGACTGCTACATATATAATAAGCGCACACCCCCCAACCAAAAAGCCATACTGTAGCCTATTTTCAGTTAACGAGTGACTTTTCCTTATAGGATGTAACTGGTTCTCCAATGATCGAGCTTTTGAGTTTTTCCTTTCCAGTATTATTCTGCCTTTCTGGTCATAGATGAAAGTGGACCTAAGGAAAAATTCTATTATGATTTGATTCAACAACAAGCGCTCTATCAAACGCCAGAATTATTGATCTGAACCTTTGTCTTTGCGTGCTAATCCACTTATTTGCTAGATGCATATCAGTTTCCAATTCTGATTCCAGAATGGTGTACACAATGAGAGAGGTCGACACAAATGTGAAACCAGGTACACGTAATAGGTGATGAATTCTCCGCAATTTTTACTCCATCATATATTCAAATACGGTGGGAGATGAGTGACCTTATTTCAGCGTCCTTCACAAGTTAGGAATACGAATTCCTGTGATAATATTACATCCACTCTCTCCCTGCCATTTCCTTCTGTCTACACTATGGACTTTTAAAATAATACAATACCACCTTGACTGCACCTGTCTCGATAATAATTCCAGGATGGACTGAAGCTACCTCAGGTTTACGGTGGGATATGAGTGACCTTATTTCAGCCTCCTTCACAAGTTAGGAATACGAATTCCTGTGATAATATTACATCCATTCTCTCCCTGCCATTTCCTTCTGTCTACACTATGGACTTTTAAAATAATACAATACCACCTTGACTGCACCTGTCTCGATAATAATTCCAGGATGGACTGAAGCTACCTCAGGTTTCGGACCTAGTGCAGCAATGCAAAGCAATTATTGAAAAGTCCGATGCTTCTTCCCAGATCTCTGCTCGCACATCATTAGACGCTTGCACCCGAGGTTTGTCGACCGATGAACAGATAAATAAGCGATTCAGTCCAAAGTCGCAGGAACGTTTGTTCTTTCAATCGGATGACAAAGTATCCACAGAAGATCGTGCGGTGGCGAAGCAACCCAACTGTGCCTTTGTGAAACTGTTGTCTCTGATCAGCTGGTATGAGGAAACAAGGGATGAAGCAATACAGTCTTTTGCGGAGCTGACAAGCGCAAATGAGCTACTAAGTACTGTCAAGGTAAGGTTCAAACCTCCGTTTTGTCGCACCCTGTTAACGCTGTATATGCAGGCCTATATTTGCCATCAGGAAAACCTGTACTCTAATGACTTCCAGTCTAACTACCTGTAAGACCCCTTTATTATGTGAACGAGCGAAGTTACTGAAACGGAACAAATTTGAGCCTAACGTTATGTGACGACAATCCTTTCGCTTTTTATGTGTATTCATGATATAGTAGCATGCTTTACACTCGACCTACAGATCCTGTCTAAGATGAAAACCAATTTCAATTCCAAGTTTGGAACATCTCCACTCCATTTGATTCCGCTTTATCGACGGAATGCTGAATGAAGCCTTTTTATATATACGCTAACTGGGGATTCCCGCTCAGAGGTGGTGAGATGATCACATAGCCCATTGGTACGCAGTTCGCGCGGTCAGTGCACGGCAGTCACGAAAGCCTACTGTGCAGTTGGTGGAAATTAAAGCTTGCAGTAAATATCTTCAGAATTACATAACATACCCGTGGAACACAAGTCCTTTATTTGGCTCCTCGAATTCGTCAGGTCTGTGTGAAATATTTGATCTCTTCAATTAAAGTGACAGAGGATGGTGATAACTGGGCACGCGCAAAATCACGCAGTGGGTGTACAGGGGATTGTGTTCACGCGAACAGAAAATTCGCTCAGAAAAAAATTTGAGTTCCAGGCGAAAAACCAATACGGTGTTATTCTTCATTTGCTAGGAATTAAGTTGAGATCACATATTCATTCAGAACGAAATCTAATATCGTGGGAATCTGAGAGGTCACGTTCAGTTGGAGCTTGAATATCTTAGAGTAAATTGAGTTCTCTGGTGATTTTCAAGCCTTCATAAATGAGAAGCACCAAAAACAGCCACATCAGGAGGCAAATCTTTAACCTAAAAGATTCAGACGGGGAACCCACTGAAATGCAATCACTGTACTTGACCAAATCAATAAAAGTATGGTCTTTTTGCTCCTTTACTCCAGTATATCTGCGGAGTATTAAAGCTCACAAGTTGCAAGGATATCTTCCCTGGGGCTTCGATGATCGTACCATTGCTGGACAACTTGTTTCGGCGTTTTGACCGTCTATTGGGAGGCATTTCCGAGACTCAGAATCAGAGCGCCGTTACTTCTAAGTACGATGTGGAATATGAGAACAGAAACGATCCCCCACATCGCCAGTTCATCAGGAGTATAAGAGCCCGTTTGCTTCATACTTACCAAGCAAATGAACCTGTGAGCAAGGCACTAACTTTGGCCACAGTCTTCGATCCGAGGTGGGACTGCAGATATAGCAAGGATGCCGATCTGGTAAGTCATGTTTTAACCAAGAAAACTGTTTATTAGGCATCGTTTCTCGGTTGGCATTTAACAACTATTCAGATCAATTTATCCGACACGAGCACAATGATAGCATGTTTTTACATCGACTGAAAACTGATGTCTTGTATATGTTACGCAAGTGAAGAAAAACTATACTTCAGTACTAGCCTGTGGAACCACATAATTGGAATTTAACCCCCAAGACTGAACAGACATCTAAGCTGTAATCTTACCACTGGACTAACGGGACTAACGTGCAAAATTTATGCGCACCCCGTATGTCGGTAGCACCATGCTTGGGAGCAAATTAAAGTGCCGTCCACAATTTTCCTATCAATAAAAGAAGTGGCAAAGTACCCGGTAACTTTGATTCCCCGCGCATTCCAACAAAACTGCCGAAGTGTAGCAGATTTTACAGAATATGACTACCGGACAGAAAATGAATGATCATGCATCTGTGTCCAATTTGACCAGTTATGCAGGTAAGCATTAAAGCCACTACCGTAGAATCCATGGTAGAATTCATGTTCAAACGTTCCAAAATTAGACGCTGAGTCTTCCGATTCTTTCAGATGCAGCTCAACAACCTTCTGAATGTTGCTTATGGTGGTCTGTACCAAATGCACTTGTCCCCACTGAGGGACTATTTACATCTTCGTGCTACACGCTGGTTAGAGGGATAATTTTTTCCGACTTTTTATTGATAACAGACTTTTCGCGTAAGCTTCCTTTTAGCACATAACACCCACATCAAAGTTTATATTGTGAAGGCCTTACTTGCTAATAGTGATCGAAAGCCTCCAGAACGACCATCTCCAGATGAAGACCACCTGTTAGTACACCACATGTCCCGGTAGAAATATTTACCAACTATATTATTTCCAGCAAGACAATGCTGAGCATATGCAAACCGACCACTGTCCACACATCATGTCCTCTTCTGAGTGGTTCATCAAAAGAGTTTGGTCAGATTTTTTCAGTGAGGTAATCTAATTTGGAAAGGGCTCAACAGCCAGAGGATATTTAAAGGGAATAATCAAAGATGGACGCTTCTGGACACTGGTCTCGTCTGTGGAAGCAACTGCAGGTGTTCTTCCTCTTTCGATATCGTCTTTGTAGTCGTTCAAGTTGTCACTTAATGCTGCATTTCATATCCTTTAGGGTTTTGCCACATCTGACATATGCTTACATGATGAATAATAGTCCGTCTTAAGTCTATTTACACAACTCTGGCACCCGACTTTTAGAATAGAGATTATGGGAGTAAATGGATGAGACGTGATCGTCCTCAGTCGTCGGCAGTTAGCACTTCCTCATTTTTATGTGCACGCTCAGTCCCAGCAAGTGCCGGGTCTTGACATTTGAGCTTGATATGGATACCGCTTTGCTAATGTGACTATCAATGGTCGACCGTTCAGATGCTTCCTCAGGTCAGGTTCTCCACTATTAGTCCAGTTAGCTGCCAAACAGAAGACACGCAGGATCTGTTTCCATCGATAGATTCAGATATCATAGAAGAATTTACACCCAGCTTGTTTACAGTAGGTAGCAGGAAGCGACAAAATATTTCTTACACTGAGTAGATTACGGATGGATCTGTAATGTGACATTACAACAGGTGTTGTTGTGCATATAGTTACTGCCTCGCATAATTCTTCACGGAAGAGGAGTAACACTGGACACGGCATTCCACATGCACGACCTCGGAACGAACAAGTCTTGTTCAGTCTATGCCACATTGTGATTTGGGTTGCCTTCCCACACTATTAACTTTAAGAGAAGATCTTTTAGAATGCCTTGTGGATGCAACATATGGCTGTAAATAAAGAGCTCGTTTGGGCATCCCTCATAATGTTGCGGTTCTGTGTATTTGTCGAAGAACTAACACGTCTAAAAATGAGACTATAGGTGCAGACTCGAGTCCGGGTAATCGAAAACCGCGATATTATCAAATAGGTTACCTAAAAGATACAGCATTTGCATTTTGCTGAAAAATGGATGACTAAACTGTCATGTAATTAAAGGTAGAGACAACACAATAGAGCAAACCCTTAGTTCTCAAGGGAAACTATCCAGTACAGAAACCTTTCCCCATCCGATGTTTTCTCACAGGCTGTCCACTAAGGATGCTAATGACTAACTACTGGAACTCGGTTGTTCAAGACTGTTACGGATTGCATTATTTCATTTTTCCATTGTTCAAGGTTTACCAATACCTCCTTGAAATGCATCCCTACATCGGGCGTTGTGGGACGCCGAAGATCCACTCGATTTATTCCGAACTGGATCGCTATATGCGCGAGCCACTGTTAGCCGTTGATCAGAACCCATTGGAATGGTGGGCGAACAAAGCAAACACCTTCCCCAAATTGACTGAATTTGCCCGAACCTATTTGCTTTTCCCGATGAGTACACTTTTACGGCCGTCAGACGCTTCTGTTCGTCACAGTTCGTCAACAGTATCCCCCTTGCCCACATCATCCCGCACAACAAACCCACACGCGTGGCTGGATGAATTGGTTCAGGAATACGAGAAGCTCGATGTCTCGGAGGTGTTCGCAGCACTTGTACAGACCAACAGAAACATGCCACGTTCGTTGTCCATATTGTCAGATGACGTGTCAGATTATTGTTTCTTGTGGTACAACTGGGCCCGTACATATGTCAGGTGTGTTACCAATTATGAAATAATGGAGAAGTTAAAAAAATTTAGTGGTTATAGGCCCACGATACTATAAAAAGCAAACTAGGTTCTTGACCCATGATATTACTAGTAGTTGCTAAAAGGTGCATCCAGAGGATAACTAAGTCTCAGTGCGATATTGTGAGTACAATCTGCTGAAGCCTAAGCAGGCAGAGAAACTAACATAGAGTTCTTTATGCATTCGTCTCTAGACTGAATAGCCCTTTGAAACTAGCAAAATACTTTGAAATTTGTTATTTGATAAACACTTAGAAAACAGAAAACACCACAACAAATGGTTTAACCAAAAAAATTCATCAAAAAACTCATATTTGAGTACTGACAAACGAACACCAGAATGGACTGAATGTATCAGGGCACTCATCAGGGCAAATAATCTGTTATCTATTGTACGCATGAAGCCAAGTAAACCTAATACGTTGTGTTAAATGGAATAATATGAAGTGTACATTCACTGTGGCCTGTTTTGTTCCCTCCACGTCGTTGTTGTTATTACGGCAGTGACATGGTTATCCTCTCTATCTAACGTCTTGACTTGTTAATACTCATAAGGTTGTTGAAAACGATTTAACGGCCCACAACACGTTCCGCCCCTATTGGAGCTCATAATGGGGTTCACAGCCCCCGAGTTTCCTTCAGCCACATGCTCTACTTGAACACGAACTGGACAGAGTTCGGCAAATACGAGTTTGGTTCCCACCGGAAACTCAGCCGAATCCAGGGGAATCTCTTATTAAAGGTGAATGCGGGGTGTCGACTAGTTTTCATCAACCTTACGAGCCTTGCGTTACGCATAGAAAGCATATTGCGATATCTCGAATATCACATTAACTGAGTAGTAAGTGATACAGCACATTCAGTTGCTTAAAAACGTCATAAACGAGGGATTCAGCCGGGTTCCGTTGGGGTCTCTACTTAAAGCCAATTTTTTTTAAATGACTGTATTTCGCTGAGTCCGTGCAATCAGGGTTCAAGTAAAACATAAGGTTGACGAAAACTCGGGAACTGTGCCTACCTGATGAGCCCCAAAAGGGCGAAACCGGTTGTGGGCTGTCGAAGAGTTTTCAGCAGCCTTATGAGTAGTGCATTACGTCCAAACTTTCAGTTTGTATTCATTAGTCGCAAATTTATAGCATGCAAAATTCATACGGCTGGCACACAAAAACAGACTTTGAGGACAATGATATAGTAAGCTCAGTTCCAGCATACAACAACAACATACAAAATGCGAGGCGGATAGGTTGGATGGAAAGTTTTCTTTCTTGTGGCTGAGACCTGTATCGCTGGTCATGTGATTCAAGGTTGAATTTATCACAGATTTTGATTGCCATGTACTCCCCTTTGATGTGCAAGGATATGAATAAAAATCTCTTTCGCAAGGAGTAATTCCTAAGTCTACGACGAACTTCTCAAAATAGCCGCTTGATACCTGTTGAAAGGTTGACATAAGGGAACTCTAGTATCCCAGCTTTCCCAATGAAATGATTGGGTTCAACTGTTTCCTTCCAATCACCGTGAGACCGGCGATGGTCTGTTTAGGGTTTTATATCAGTGGTTAAATTCTGATTCAAAACGAATTTGTGATTAAACCTGATACCATCAAACCGAATTCTGAGACGCGTCCGCATTGCAACACCAAAAGCAGGAACTCGTTTGAGCCCCAATCTGCAAATAAACACTTCCTTCATCATTCATTCAACCTGACGGTCATCGTGAGAAAGAATCAGCCTTGAGTATTGCAAAGACGGTGTGGTCATGCTCGATAACCTTTACTTGTTTGCCCAGTGCCTTGTAAAAATCACATGCTCACCTCCCTACTCCGAACACAGTTGGCCCCGTTTAAACCTCGAAGTTTGTTGCTAGTATATAGCGCATGACTGTACATAAGATAGATCGCCTTACAGAAAATTATTGGAAAGATGCCCTCAAAATATGCATTGATCCCTCATATATGGTCAGCCAAGAGAAGCTGGAAAGTGGTATACAATGAGCTGGCTAACCCTGGTTTGTCTCAAAAGCCTCAGCAATTTACAGCCTGAGCTAATGAATCCTATCAGAAAATGAAGATTTTCTTTACTCGTTGGAAGAACCAATATCCCCCCGTTCACCAGCGACAAAATGCGCTGGCTTTTCTTACAGTGCTTATTTTCTGACCAAGCAGTTACACTCTGACAGCTGGCTTGGAACGTGTACAGATTCCCATTAGAGGATAGGGAGTTACGAAGACGCTATCCGTCTAATCTCGTAACTGCATTGTGTTCTTCATAGTTCGTAGTCCTGTGGTCAGCCTTGGTACTTTCATTGATAAATACACCACCAGGCAAACTGATTCTGAAATTGAGACCACAGGATACCAACGTGAAGCAGAGAGCCTGTCCAAGATCGCCTGCTGCCCAAGTTATCGACCCCATTCTGTCACATATCACTTGAACACAGAAAGAATAGGTTTTTGGCAGCCCACTTAAACGTATAGGGCCAAAACTCAAGAATTGAGCTTCAAACGCCTTGGAAAAATACGGGAAAACAATTCAAGAGTTCGATAAATACTCCCATTTGCACTCGAATCTGGTTTCGCCCGAAGACTCAAGTGAATCTCACTGAATTCCCCTTTTAAAAGGATCCACCTCAAGTGGATGTGCTGCATCACGTGACCTCATCTAACAGTTTATGCGACATTCAAGATATCGCGATAAATTGTCTATGTGTAACGCAACGCTCGTAAAGTAAGGATCCACCTCAAGTGGATATGCTGCATCACGTGACCTCAGATATATCAGTTTATACAACATTCAAGATATCGCGATATGTTGTCTATGTGTAACGCAACGCTCGTAAAGTTGATGAAAACTTGTCGACATCCCACGGTTACCTTTGATAAGAGATTCCCCTGGATTCGGCTGAGTTTCCAGTGGGAAACAAATTCGTGTTTGCCGAATTCTGTCCAATTGGGTGGGCTTCTGAAGAGTTTTCAACAACCTTATAAGTATTAACAAGTCAAGGCGTTAGGTGGAGAGGATAACAGTATCATTGTCATACTAACAACGGGTATAAGAAAACGTGGAGGAAACAAAACAGGCCACAGTGTATGGATAATTCATATACTTCCCTTTTACACGACGTAGTAGGATTATTTGGCTTATCAACATAATAAACGTAAGATTCCGCTGGCTTCCAGGTGACTCTCCAGTGAAAATTCAATTGTATGTCGTTTATGCTGTCCTGATGAAATGGATAAGGTAATCCCAGTGAACCTAAACTTATTTACTTCGCGACCGATGCTTTTTTTAACAGTGACCTGGATAACTGACAGGAAGCACCGATTACTGCGTCACACCGAGTCTTGATGACCAAATAGTCGACAATCTGCCACAGCAACCGACTACAACCACCAAAGACACTTCATCAGTCAGACATCAACCTCATTTGGAAATGCAGTCTGAGCCTGTTGAACAGCTCAACAAAATCCTTTTTTTAACTACGAAAGGCTTGTGAATGATTATTGTTCCGATGTGATTGAATTCTCTCATTCGACTACTTATACTTATACTTCATTATTCTGTGGATGCCATCTTGTTAAACTTGTTACTGTGATCCATGCTAAGACAATCAATAAACCAATTGTTTTAACTTTATTCTTCAAAGACCGATTTTCAACCTGAAAGATTATCAGTGTTGGATTGACATATTTCCTTTCATGGCCGCTGCACGTTCTGTGCTGGCATAAACCGTAGCATTTCACCCAAAATAATATTTTCCCATTCTAACGGTCTGGAAGATTCGGATATTGTCACTCACAAAGTGAACTACAACTCTTTCACTCTCCTATCCGTTGATAAGCCTATTTGTTATAAAACTGCTCGTTAGTTGGATACATGTACAGAATTCCTACCTCATTTCAGCGAAAATTCTACCTTTTATGAGTTATGATCTCTTTTTCATGGAACCTTTGCATACACGCCAAATTCCTGTGTGAGTCTACTACCATGCTATGGTGGTTGAACTTATTGCAAAGTTTGCATCTGTGTTTAACAACTCTCGCCAGGCGGTTGTAAGTAAGGTGATCAAATGTCGAGTTGCTTAAGAATGATAGAGATATTTAGTCCAACTTCCGGAGGAACGGCTATTCAAGAGTAAGGAAAGATTAAAACCTTCAAAAGTCTTTTCCCACGATAAAGCGATGGCGAAGCTGGCACAAACACGCTTTGATCAGAGTCTAATTTCTCAACTGGATTGGGCCAAAGACTTGCATTGATCAGAAGGCTGCAATCACACACTGACTAGCTGTTCGGCCTGTACTGCTCCAGCAGCACGGGGTCAACAATGTGTAGAGTAACGGAGATGTTTCATTGAAAATGGAGCCACTGCACCCAAACGGGCAACCTAGCAGAAGATCCTGGTTGCTATCGAGAAATACACTAATTTGCAAATCAATTTAGTTTTCACGAAAGACTCAACTGAATCTCTCGTTTATGATATTCTACAACTGAATG